GGGGGGGGTACTGGAAGGAGCAGGACCTCAGCCCCAGGCTGCCCTGATGCCCAGCTCCCTGAGGAGCAGCACGAAGCCGAAGTGACCTCCCAGTGCTTCACCCCCCACCACCCTGCACCCTTTGCCAAGAGGGGCTAGGAGACATCCTCCCTCTTGGTTTGCGGTCACCAGTGGGTGCTGAGCTGTCCCCCCCTCCCCGTTAATTTGGGGACACGCTGAGCAGGGTGAGGGCTGGGGGTGAACACCAGGTGTGGGCAGTAGCACCCATGGGTCCAGGAGGGTTTGGGCAGGGCTGGCCATGCCCGCTGGATCTCCCCACAGCACAGCCCTGCCAAGGCGCTTTACATAAGGAGCCTGTTTTCACAACAGCTGGATTTTTCCTCTGGCAGCCCCCCCTGCCCCAGCACATTCCATTCCTCGCACCCCGCTGCGAGCCCAGCCTGCCCCCACACACCCCCTGCCGGGGGCCCAGCCCTGCGGATTTATTAGAACAAAACAAAAGCTGATCCAGGCAGGCCTGAGCATCAGGAGAGCTTGGCTGGGGCTTCCTGACATGCCGGGCTGGGGGCTCAGCCCCCGTCCGAGTCCACCTGTGGGGCACAGGGTACTGGGGCAGCTCTTTCTATTGGGCACCAGAGGCACGGAGCACCCATGGGTGCCACTGTCATCCTGTGCTGGGGCACGGACACAAAGCCACCCTGCTGCCCTGGTGTCCCCAGCTCCCTCCCCAGTGGCAGCAGGGGATTCCCAGCAGGTGCCCACCCTCCTGGTGGTGGCAAAGCTGGGGGTCAGCCCAAGAAACTGGGTGGCAAAGCTGGGTGCAAGCTCAGTAGCATGAGGGCACCAGCTGTGGTGTGGGACAGGCTGGGGGAGCACAGGCAGGATAGAGGTACTTGGGCTGTGAGTCGCCCTGGTGCCTGGACACAGACCCTTGGCACAACCTTTGCACCCCAGAAATGGGTTCACACCAGGTGAACACAGGCTGAGCTGAGCTTGGGTGCAACGGGATCCTTGGAGTCCAGCCCCCCAGGGCAGGAGGGCAGGGCTCTCCCCTCACCTCCCACTACCCCACCCGGGCTCCCCCTCACTGCAGCCACTTGTGGGGTGCAGGGCTGGGAGTGAGCACTGCCCCTGGCACCTGGGCTCTGCCAGGCACAGGCCGGGGGCTGCAGGATGGTGGCTGCACACAGCGGCCCCAGAGCAGGGCAGGCTCTGGCTGCGGGCCCGTCACGTGCGGCTCCTTGCATAAGTCCCTGATAAACAACATGTGTGACCGGTTTCCACCAAGATTGCAAAACGCCAGCGCGGGGGGCGGGGGGCTGCTCCCCACTCCGGGGCTGCTGGACACCCCACCACCTGCCACAGGGGGTGCTCCCCGTTCCCCCACCCCAGAACAACCACAGGCTCATCCCGT